GGAATTTGTCGCTATCCGCCATCCGAGGAAACGTCCTGAGTTGTAGCGCCATCTGTTAAGAGTCTTACCGCATGAGCCAGTGTTCCGAAGCCCTTTGCCAACGAATGCATGGACACTGTAGTCAATTGTTAAGCTTTTCCTTGGACACTTTTTTTGATTCCAGCAGCCAATATACACACAAACATGCAAGCATGCACTTACTTCTGGGAGGCCCTGTTATGATTCATATCGAACCGTACTGCTTAATAGCTGACGGAGAAAGAAACCACAGCTTACGTCGATCACTAGCCCCTTTGATATAGAAGTACAATAAAAAGCGAAACTTCAGAGACCATTATCCACACAGTTACTAGGCAAATTAAATTACCTCAGAGAATATATTTTAAGTAACGGAGGCGGCATTTGTGGAGGGCCCGTAATAGGTCGCGTACATACAGCAACAGCTGCCAAACCTGCTGCAGCAGCAACAACTAAAGGTACTACGAAGATCCGAGTGACGAAAATGGACTGTGCGTGAACTAGTAAAGCCAAGCAGAGACCGTATGAGTGAACTTACTGAAAACTTACTTCTGCTCGCCCAGAAAATCGAAGAAGTGGAAGAGCTTAAGCAACGAGCAACGGTTACAGGGGTGTATAGAAGACAAGGCGAAAATTGGGCAAGATAAACAAGAGAGGAGTGAAATGCTGTATTTACATTAGTACGCGTACATGTGGCACGTACAGCAGGTCAGTCCCGCCTATCAAAACGGGCAAGAACCAAAAGAGACTATACAATAGTTTGCTCTCAGCATTTCTGCCAGATAAAGAAAGGATTCAGAGTAGAATTCTATTTGTAAAAGATATACTCCGGCAGTCACCGATGCTGCAAGAGAAATAACGCCTACGGGACCTCACGAGCAGTCTCGCCTTCATCGTTGCACGAGCAACACGATTCCGAGCTGCTACGCAGATCACCTTACATGAAAACACGAATTTACCGAGGAACGTTTAGGTCGGTTGGTGGAGCATTTCAGATTTCGGTCTACAAAGAAGATATTTCAGAGATAGAAGTGGCGCACGGGAAGGCGGGGGTCCGTATTTTGGGTGTAAGAGGTCGGCTGCACAGGTCTGCGCCAGATGGTGCGTAAGGCAGTGACAAGATCTTTTTTTTGCATACTTACTAGAAAAGGACGCGTTGTGAAGGACAGCAGCCGTTGCCTCCACCATCGTCGTTTGGGGGCAAGGAGAGACCCTCATCACCGGAAGTACGGACTACGTATGTGGTCGCCGCAGGCCTCTGTCTAGGGTGTATATTAGTTAAGCATTCAGTAACAAAATTACCTCGGTTATTTCGAATTATAAATATAATAGTTATCAACAGTCATCTCAGTCGGTCATGTACATTTGCAGCAGGAGCAGCACCAGCACCGGCTGCAGCGGGAGACAGCAGCCGCGGCAGCACACACCCGCCCCCCAAACATCAAGGCGCCCCGCTGCTTCGTGACCCCTGTGCTGGTTGGTAACTCAGTCTATTTATATTTTGCGTTGTTTGGATTGTATAGATGCACTTGAGGGGGTATACATACACCCGAAAGTCACTCGTTACTGCGGGCCTTGAGCACGAGCACTACCGTCCTGCTGTTGTCTCGGGTTGCTGTAGCGGTTTCTTCTCCTTTTTGTCCCCTAGTTGTCTCGTGAATGCATAATAAATGGAAGGTGTACCTGGCATTTGTGTGCTTACTGGATATGCTGCTTGCCACTAGGCCCTAAGGTCGTGTTGCGCCGGGCATTGTCGGCCTTCGACTTGGGGCGAGGTTTCCACCTGCTCCCCTGCCGTTCTCGGAGGGTTTAAAGACCTTATTTGGCTCTCAACGCCTTTTCCATGTGCTACCTACTTCTTTGTTCTACATCCGAAGCCCGGTGCTTCAGCGCGCAAACCGACTTGTTTCGCCCTACCGGCTGCGCACCCCGCCCGTAGCTTCGTGCACGGCCGCTTGCTTGTGCTCCCTTCCTTCCCCTCTTGTTATCAAACTGCGTGTTTGTGCTTATTCTTGGCTGTGTTTCCTTTAGTTCTGTTGGATTAAAAGGACAAGACAACTGGAGTGGTAGCAGCAGCTGAAACAACCCCTGTATGTTCTCCTTCCGTGCTCGGTGGAACGACCACGAAAGACACAGCCAGGGTGTAGGGGCTTTTCAAGGCGGCATTAGCTCCCCTGCCTTCAACAAGCTTCATGACCGTCGAGGGCTTGTTGACGTACATAAATACCTCTCTATGGGCCCGATTGGTCCTTGTGTGTATGCGTGTCTGTTTCCATGCACGGAATGAGAGGCATCTAGTTGTTCATTCATAGCGTTTGTCACATACACAAAACTGCAGTGTGTGTCATGTATTTGTTGTTTCCATCACATGCTTCATCGAAATATACACCAGGCCTTCGAGATTAGTATCAAAGGGAGATATTTCCAGCTCGTTCAACGACGAAGTGTATTGGCGGTGCAGATATACGCATGAGGATGGCCCTGCAACAAACAGCAGCAGCAACAACCACAACTGAAAGCAGTCCCAGCCTGGGTAGCAAGTCGTGGGACTTGCTGTACCCCCCGCACGTTTTGGGTGAAGCCTTAAAGCAAATCCAGGGATCTCTACAGGACAGAGGAGCGGCTGCAACAGGACCAGGGACGATCCAGGAGAAGCAGCAGCAGCAGATGCTGTCCCGACAGGAACAGCAGCAAAGTCAACTGCTTGTGCAAGCAGCAACTGCCTCTCCAGCGATGCCGCTCGCTTTTCAAGGCGGCATTAGCTCCCCTGCCTTCAACAAGCTTCATGACCGTCGAGGGCTTGTTGACGTACATAAATACCTCTCTATGGGCCCGATTGGTCCTTGTGTGTATGCGTGTCTGTTTCCATGCACGGAATGAGAGGCATCTAGTTGTTCATTCATAGCGTTTGTCACATACACAAAACTGCAGTGTGTGTCATGTATTTGTTGTTTCCATCACATGCTTCATCGAAATATACACCAGGCCTTCGAGATTAGTATCAAAGGGAGATATTTCCAGCTCGTTCAACGACGAAGTGTATTGGCGGTGCAGATATACGCATGAGGATGGCCCTGCAACAAACAGCAGCAGCAACAACCACAACTGAAAGCAGTCCCAGCCTGGGTAGCAAGTCGTGGGACTTGCTGTACCCCCCGCACGTTTTGGGTGAAGCCTTAAAGCAAATCCAGGGATCTCTACAGGACAGAGGAGCGGCAGCAACAGGACCAGGGACGATCCAGGAGAAGCAGCAGCAGCAGATGCTGTCCCGGCAGGAACAGCAGCAAAGTCAACTGCTTGTGCAAGCAGCAACTGCCTCTCCAGCGATGCCGCTCGGGAGAAAAGATGAAAGGCAGCAAAGCAGTGAGGGGGGGCGGCCACTACTGGAGCCAAGCACGCAGCAACAGCAGATCCAGCCGCAGCAGCAGCCGCTCGTGCAGTTGCAGCAGGCGCAGCGTCTCCAACTGCATCAGCTTCAGCAGTTTACACCGCCTGCCTCCGAGTTGCAAAGGTCCCCAAGCCACCGACTGGGCTTGGTAAGTCAACAGAATCTGCTGTTGCACCCGCTGTGTCTTGCCTTTGCAGTTCAGCGACAGATGAAATAGCCCAAAATCCGCACTTATACTTGAGTTAGAAGTTGATTGCCTGGATTCCTTAGTGTGCGTCTGCATGTGCAGGCGAATGCCAGTGTCCCTGCCTGGGGGTCCCCTCCCGCCTCTGCAGCTCCGCCGGGTGCTGCTGCTGCTGCTTCTCCTGTGGCGTCAACGGCAGCAGCAGCAGCAGCAGTAGACAGTCCGTGCGCTTTGGCCTTTCTGTCTGGCTTGCCTCATGCCTATTCCCCTACCTCTCAGGGATCCACTGCACCACCGCAGACTCCGCAGGGTGAACTGGGGTTCGATGCTGCTGCTGCCAGTGCCTCCACAGCCCCAGCCACCAAGGATAGTTCACTGAAACAAGCTTATGTACACCCCAATCAGCAGCAAACGCTGCCTTTTGTACCGTCACAGCACAACGAAGCGTGGCTTGCCTGTTTTGAGTTTATGGGATGGGAACAGCAGCAAAGGAGTTCATCAAGCGCTGCAGTGTCAGCAGCTGCTGTGGCAGCAACCACCCAACGCAGCAATGTTTTGCAGCTACCAACTGCGGAGATGCCGACCTCCTGCAATTCCAGCGGCAACTGCAGCGAGGCTTCCTGCGGAGCCTCTCGTGCGCTTGAAGACACCCCTTCTTCGCCTTCATGTTCCTCAGCAGTAGCCCTATTGGGAACCGCAAATCCAACAGCGCCAACACAAACATGGCAGTGCTCCTGGCCAGACGATGCCCTGAACCATTCAATGTGCCTCAGCAACAGCTTGTCCCTCAGCAGCAGTCTGATCGAGCCAGCCTGTCCTGAGCGACTCATTTTCAACTGTTGCATCTGCTGCTTCCACTGGTAGAAGCAGCCAGGGAACGGTGGGAAAGAACCCTGACGGGACCTGTAGCGCCGTCCAGGTGCTTCAATCAGCAGCACCGACGACAGGAGTTGCTCCGCTTTGTGGAAAAGATGTTGAAGAAGTGCCTTCCCCGGAAGGGCTTGAAAGGCACGCTGATGTTCCAGCAGCCACGACAGCAGACGAATCTCCTCCTACAGCAGTATCTTCTGTTCCAAGACTCACTATTTGGCCATCTGCCGAGCAGCAACAGCACATGCAGCAGCAGCAGCATGCGCAGCAGCAACAGCTCAGGGGGCAGCACCTGGTTTGCCCCATTGAGAGCCAGCTCACGTCAGCCTTCGCATTACCGGAGCAGCAGCAACAGCAACAGCGGCAGCAGCAGGAGAGGAATCTATTCTACAGGGAACTTGCATCCAAACAAAAACACTTAAAGCACCATTTGATTCCTGCAAATCAGCAGCAGTCCCAGCTATTGCAGCCTTCGGCTGAGCATCTTGTACCACAGCAAGAGCAGGAACAACTTCAGCAGCAGCAACTGGATAATGCGCTGATGCTTGGGCAGCACATGCAACGCGAACAAAGCAACTCTTGCTGCCTCCAACAAGAGGCAAATGGTGCCGACCAGCAGCAGCAGCAGCACCAAGGGTGTCTGTGCAAGGCACGAGAGGAGCCTGCCAAGCATGTCTCAGTTGCGACAGCAGCTAAAAGGGTCTCTGCTCTGCTGCCGCGTCTTCCTCCATGTTTACCTATTTTGACACCAGGCATGGATCGTTCTTGTGATCGTTCTCTCACGTCGCTGCTCATTACGCTACCTCTGAACCTTCCTTTTGGCCGCATTC